TATGGGAAGTTCCAGCAATTTGCCTTAAGGGGCACAACTAGTGTGAAATTTTCAAAAAATCGAATTTTCAATTTTTCCATATTTCTATAGGTTGTACTTTTAAAAATAACATACCAAAGTTTTAAATCGATATCTTAAATAGTTTTTGAGTCACTGTCATTTAAAGAGCACATATATATATATATATATATATATATATATTTATATAAATATATATATATATATATATATATATATATATATATATATATGTATATAGTCTGACGATTATTTTATCTTCAAACGCGTTTTTCTCGAAACAGCATTTTCCGAATGCGATTACTCAAAAACAAATGATTCGATCACTACCAAATTTTTTTTACATGTTTTATATATAGTTTTCCGTAAAATCGGATCAAAAATCGAATTTTGGCAGTCCAAAAACGACCAAAATTTTGGGTAGATATGGCCTTTTTCTTAAAAAACGCCGTAATTTTGTCAATTTTTGATTTTTTTTTCTTTATCGTAGTTCATTTTACAGACAATATTATCTAGTTTAACGAGAATTTTTTTTTTAAATTTCATCCACGTAGAAGGCCGGAATCACTGCAGCAGTAAAGGGCCTTTCTTTTGTCGCGCCGTTGGAGATCGACGATAACTTAAAAAATATTTAATTTTTTTCTTCAAAAATTTTACTATGTATTCTTAAAACATGTATAAATATATGCCTAAAATTTTGAAATGATTGATAAAGTAGTTTTTTTAATATAAATTCCGAAAAATCACCTTTTTTAGGTGGTTACACTAGTTGTGCCCTTTAAGGAACGAGGTCATGCACCCCACTAGTTATTAATTTTTTTTGCTCGAATATTGAATTCTAGTACAGAAAGTTCCAGCAATTTGCCTTAAGGCACGATGTAATGCATCACTAGTCATTTTCTCTCGGAGCCCCTACTAATATTGTACAAAGCCGGAATATGAATAAACTAAAATTTCTCGCTGGTGTCCCCCACCTTGAATTTCGACGCTTGCGCACGTATCGACCGATTCGAGTAGTTTGGTCCGCTTGCAATCATATGTTAGGTTGTTGACAGTAGCCATGCGAAAGGTGTCCCGAATACAACATAATATCATTTTTATTAATTCTTAAATATCTCCAGGATTTAATATTTTATCAATATGTTTCATGATGGTTTAAAAACAACCTGATACGCAGCTGTCGATATGATTTTTATATCTATGCTATAAGTTGCTTGTTTTAGGCTAATTTTGTTTCTGTTTATTTGTATGTAAATATAGAAACACGTGTTGTGGTTGTTAATAGTGTTCGTAACTTTTTTGTGTTTATATGTAGCAGTTATCAACATGGATAACAGGTAAAAAATATTTTTGCTGTGAAATGTTATATATATTTTTATGCCAATAGCATTTGCTATAACATTTAGCTATTTACAATATTACTAATTTTTATACCATATATTTTTTTTTAACATCCCATGGGGCCAGTTATAATAATCGTTCAAAAATTATTTTTCTGCATATCTTTACGTTTCAGAAGTTTCTGAACAGTTTGGTATATCTTTAAAAAATAGATGTATATATATGTGTATGTGCGTATGTTTGGATACAATTTTTCGTCCACGATATCGCGAGCACGGATCAACCGATTTGAATGATTAAAAAAACATTCGATTCCTATTGACGGGAAGATGTGCTGATTAGATATGGAGTAAAAAGTGCAGAAATTGTAAATTGTTTATTGCGAGAACGGTGCATCTGATGAGAATGCTTAAAGAAACATTTGATTCGTATTGACGGGTAGATGTGCCGATTAGTTTTTTGCAAAGGCGAGTCTAGCCGTTTTGGAGATATGGAACAAAAAGAGCAAAAATACCAGTTATTGAGAGAATGGATTATCTGATTAGAATGATACAAAAAAATTTTTGCTTACGTTGATAGTGTGAATGAATGATTAATTTGTGGGGAAGAAAATTATTTTTATTTAAAAAATTAAAAGAACTAGTGGGGTGTATGGCATCGTGCCTTAAGGCAAATTGCTGGAACTTTCCGTACCGTAACGAAATGTTCGAGGAATACTGAATGTTTTCAAATAGATTAACATAAATGCTGTAAAATTTTCTTTTATAAGAATTATATAAACTGAATTGCAAAGTTAAAATTATTTGTTTAAAGTATATTAGAACTATAGTCAGAATTAAAAATAAAATCTGAATTATTTTCGATATACAAAATTTTTTTTTTTTTAAAAAAAAGTTGAAACAAACTTTTTTTTTCCAAAATCAATTATTTTGTTAAGACAAGCAGAAAGTTCTTGGAATCATTGAAATCGGTCGCTTAGTTCTCTCAAAAACTGCAATTTTTTGCACATTCAGCTCCGTATCTACGAAATGGCTGGGCCTGCCTTTGCCAAAAACTAATAAACACTTCTCTTAATCATTACTAATTGAATGTTCTTTAGATCATTTAAATCGGATGCTTCGTTCTCTCAAAAACTCGATTTCTATTTTCTGCACTCTTTGCTCTTTATCTCCGTAACTGCTGGACCTGCCTTTGCCAAAAACTAATCAATAGGTATCGAATATTTTTTTAACCATTCAGATTGGTTGATCCGTGCGCCCTAAAACGTGACTGGAAATTTGTATCCATACATACATACACACACACATCCATTTTTTCTGAGGTATGTCAAAATGTTCAGAAACCTTCAAAACGTCGATAAATGTAAAAATTTTCAATTTCGATTTTCGGCCCATTACAATAACTTACCCTACGGGAAGTTAAAGATTAATTTTAAAAAAATATTTTATTTAATATCGGATTTTAATTTTAATTCTAGTCAAAATTCTGAAGCTCACTTATATACTTGAAATACATAATTTTAACTTTGCAATTCAGTTTTTGTAATACTTAGAGATATGAGATAATGCCCTTTAATTCTAGCTCCGTTTGATTAAGTTTTGTTTATTATTTTCATGTAAACATATAGAAACGTCGTTCTCCAATTTATAAGCTCTTATATTTTGTCTATAAAATTTGACGATACGAATAATGCAAGTTCTAGTATTTATAATAGTCTATTTGAAAACATTTTAAAATTCTTTAAATTTCTATTGCACCACTAGTCATCGTATTCTATTCAATGATTTTCCAATATATTATATCTCATATATTTTTATTAACATTTAAATGTCTTTTTCTTGAGTACAATTATATCACCTTTTGTGTATAGGGATTCGATCCGAGTACCCCTTAAATGAGAGTTGGGCACTTTACCTTACCTTTACCGTTTATTTGATTAGATTATTACTATCACTAATTTTACACTAATAAGATAATTGTTATGCTAACTTATATATTTATTTATTCATTCATAAGCAAGCCACAAACAACAATAATATATGTTATTTAAGCAATGTAAACAATGTTTAAAGTAGAATGTTTTTTTTTAACTATTTGTTTATATAGCGTTCTCCGTGGTCAGTTCGATAAAATCAGCAAAAAAGATTTTATATATTTTATATGATAAATGTTTATTTTAAAATCTGTAGTTATAGTAATATTTTTTAGATTGACTTCTATTTTCAGAACTAAATATATTGAATTTATTTTTTCTGAAAATTGGGCATTATTTTATTGAATTATTGAAATTTATTTAATATTTATTTAAATTATTGAATTGAAAGAATTTATTCTTATACATAATAATGCTGAAAACTATGTTTAATATTTTTTTTCGAAACTGTTTTTTTATTTAAGTAAAATAAATAATTCTAAAGAACTAAATAATAGCACAATAAAAGAATAATATTTTTTTTTTTTTTTAATTTATTTGAACAGCGATCAGAACTTATGGGTTCTATGAGCTGTTTTGATGAATCTCTTACAAACTATGTTTTTGTTTTATTATAGATGGCAACCCAAACAGTTGTCTCATCTCTATGTGCTGAATTTTTATTATTACAATTGTTGTAATAGTGTTGACTTTACTTCCAAGTGGCATGTTGCCACTACAGCTATGCCCACGAAAGGCCATTTTCACTTGAGATCATATTTGAAATCTATGATTTCAAGTGAAAATTTGGTATCAAGCTGCTTTGATACCGAACCGACCGAAGAATAATATCAAAGCTATTTTAATGAAACTTTTTATACGTGGATTTTTCTACTGTAATCAACGACTTGTGTATGGCTGTTGTTAGTTTTTTTGAATTTGTGTTTTTATTTTTTTGATTTCTTCAGATAAAACTTCTAATGGAATTTTTACTTCAATTTCTGTGTTGTACAATTTTTTTCATGAAAAGATTTGTGATAAATTATCTCTTCGTATTAGTCTAAAATTTATGATTTGCGAAATTGTTTTTATAAAAATTGGTTCTTACGTATAATACAATTTTTTTTACGTATATTGTTGGGTTGAAGTTAAATGTCTAATCATGATTTACAAGTTGTAATAACAGTGTTGCAATATGTAAAAAGATTAATTCAAATGGAGCAATAATATATAAAATAATGGAAAAAAGTAAGGAAAAGTGAAACAAGAAACGTATTACTGTATCAAATATACAGGACCAATAATGACTGAAAACGTTTTTAATATGACATATAATGTTTCTCATAAAAGACACATGAAAATCAATTGCATTAAGGCAATGACCTAGCACACGGAAAATGTTCTGGTTAAAATCTTCCAGCTACGTTTCGAGATTGATTGAAATAGCATGAGAAGCAAATGATTTTAGGGATTTTCGAAATGATGAAATGAATATTTTGTGGTATTATTGAAAACCAAAATACAAAACATAATGAACAGCAGGAAAATGGTACCCGATAAAAAATAATGCGGACAAATAGAAAATGATGATAGATAATATCGAAAATTCATGTAAGAATATTGTCGGAAAATCAGATAGGATGTTTCTTTACGAAAGAGTCATGCTAAAGTGTTATGCCAAAGTAGTCTTCCCGAAAATGGAAACGATACTGATGAGCAAACCATGAGCAAACTCAGTTTCTTCTTGCAAAAGCAACTGATAAAATTTATTCTTGAAACATGGCTTTTCTTAAATTTAAGAAAGGCGAAAAAATTACTTTTGAATTACGTTCGAAGTATGTGAATTAAAAAATGAGAAAATGCTACCGAGCCAGTAAGAACTTTTCTGGAGTTTTCTCTTCTTGGATTATCTATCGAAAACGAAACTGGATCGGAAAAAGACTGCGAACAACGCCATCGAAGGAAAGTCATAAAAACAGAAGGAATATGGCGGGTTAACCAAAAAAGAATTTTTTTAGAAAGTTCAGGATACGATATAGACATAGAAGTAGAAGCTTAACAAATAAAGGTGCTAAAAAGTGAATCTTTTTAGGACCTACGAGAGAGGAAGAGAAAGTAAAAAATGTAGGAGCCTTCCATTGATCACGAGAGGCTTCAAAGGGGGCAAGGAATTTGTTAAAAAATCACGAAAAATCGCATGGGGAGTCTGATAAGATATAAGTTGTATTTATTATTCACATAGATTTCTAAATTTCACGTGATGTTTTGTTGGGGATATTTAAATGCCATCACGTACCACCAAGGGTGGGGCTAAAAATGCTTGAAAAACGATCACGTGGTTGATGAACGGTTCCAAAGTACTAGTTATATCACAAAATAATTTTAACAAATTCATAAAATTTGCCAATCAAAATGAAACCGCGTTTGTTTCTTATTTAGACTTGTGATAATTCTTATATTATTACTATCTGCGTTAATAATATGTAATAATTTTTATATGTATGTATATACGCATGTATATACATATGTACGTACAAACTTACAAACGTATGATTTTTATTTAAAATGCACAACAACAAAAATCGATAATTCTAAAATAAAACCATTATTAAGTGATGAACTTTATTGATTGTAAAATTCAATAAACATTGGCAGAAGTATTGTTTAAAGTCGCTTCTATCGAACTTATCATGAACAAGCATTGAATAAAATTATAATGCGCTATCTAGGAATACTTTCAATTTTTATAAGAATTTTTTAAAATTGATATTTTATATGAATCATCCTTTTATTACCCAATAAAACGCTGCTAAAAGCCTACAATTTTACCCTTTTAATATAATTGTTCTCTGTCCATGTCAAATAGCTCTTCATTGGAATGTTCAAACCTTTAATTATGAATTTGTCAAAGACTGCACTTTGCTAAACAGATATTGCTGAAATTGTATTATTACATTCTTTATTTTATTTACCTGTTATCTTTTGCTTAATGTATTTGATAACACATTGAGAGACTATTAATAATTAAATTAAGTAGGATTACATAATTAAAAATGATTCATATGTCGTACATCATAAAAACAA